AGTCGAGTGCATGTGTTGCATAGTTATTGTATGAGTTGTGAATATTGATGATGGGACAGTAGGTCCAGATATGTTGTATGTGAAATAAACATTTATTGTTTTCTGCCTTTTATTTCATGTACCATTATACCATTATTATTTGATCGTGATTCTCACCCCTTTGCTGTTGTTGTGGTCTGTGCTTCTTCGGAAGTACAGACAATTCAGGTGTTTAGCTAGCTTGGATTGTGGCGTCATCGTAGGACTGCTTTGATACGTAACACCGGGGCGTTTTAGGAGTCTTATTGTTTATTGTTGATATGTGTGCCCCTGTGGCGTATCTGACTTGTGCGAGACATGTGATGATGTTTGATGATTATGTTATATATATTTTTGGGCAGATGGCCGATGGTTGTATATATGACGTTGTTGATGACATGGGTGATGTATAAATGTTGTTTTGTGTTACGATAGACTATGTTCATTTTCCGCTGCAACTTTATTGAAAATTAATTTGAAAAAAAATGTTTTGTGAAAATTTTTTATGGGAATTATGACATCCCGATGTGGGAGAACTCTGATGTGTGATTATTTATTTGTGTTATTTTTATTTTGGGAAACGGGGTGTTACATCGTCGATCTTTGGGACGAGGCGAAGGGCTCCTCGAGTTCCCATTCTGGTCTACCTGCGGAAGGGACCTTAGTGGGACCTCGCGTTCTAGCGCGCCGATCCGCGTGTTCTGTTGAAATAACAACTGGTTCGTCTGGTTGATGGCCGCGAAGAGGGCGGCCACAGTCGGGTCCGCTCCGGCAGGGACGGGAACCGGCTGGAACACTGCTGGGCTCTGGGGTCGTTGGTCAACCTGGTGTGCATCTTCCGCGGACGAAGAAGAGGCGGTCTGGTCGTCCCTTTCGTTGGTCTCCGGTGGACGGGATGTCTCTGTTTGCTTGCCTCCGTTCGCGGCAGGGGTGAGGATGAAGTCGGGAATGACATTTTCGTGGTGTGGTCTAGCCATGATCGTGGAGTGTTGGTGAAACTTTGGTTTGCTGCTCGGAGTAACGGGGAAGTTTCTGTTCCCATAGACGGCGCCACTTATCTGACCTGATCAGAAGGGGATCGCTAGCTGGCCACACTCTGTTGGACTGCTGCCTATTCACCGATGATGATGATGAGGAGGGGGTGTACCTGCAAGGCACTCCAATGCCAAAGTAAGTCTATGGGCAGAGTGATCACAAGTACAAAAAAAACGGTAAGAAGTGAATTACCTGACCCTTTTGTGGAAGAGGGTATTTATAGAGAGACCCCAGCGCTGGGCCAACGGTCACTTGCGTTGGGCTGGATTGCCAGGCCCAACATAGGTGACTGCTAGGGCTTACGTGGCGTAGTGAAGACTAGGACGTGGTCTTCGCCCTAGTCCAACTGTCCCGTGATCTCCGGAAAGTGGGTTTGACCTGCTCTTTCAGAGGTGGGCAGTTGGTCGGTGACGTGTCCCCGCGGAGGGGAGCACGTGGAGAACGTGTGAATGGCACGTTGCTCTCCTTGCGGAGGGGAGCTTGCGAGGTTCCCCGGAGGCGTATTGTTCTCCCCGCGGAGGGGAGCACCCGAGGGCGTGGGAGAGACGTGTTGTCCTGCTCGGCGGTAGGGGGATTATGCCCGCAGAGAGCTGTTCTTCCCGACGAGGGGCAGCGATTGGCCGCGCCTTCCCGCAAAGGGGAGAGCGCAGGGGTCGTCCTAAGGCACGCTGTTCTCCTCGGCGGGAGCATGCCCTACCCGTCGAGGGGTCACGTGCCCGACTGCCCTACTCAAGCCATATTGAGCCTTTATTGTGTATCATTGGGCTGGGCCGCGAGTTGAGGCCGGGGCCCAGACCAGAACAATTACTTTTGAGAATTATACTTGGCACTCATACAATTGGACATGACACTCGTGTACTTTGAGTGAAATAACCAAAATAAAAAAGTTAAGTTGTAAAATTAAAATCAAATATTTTAGATTCTTTTAAAAAGATTTATATCATTTCAGATTTGTGTGGAATTGTTCGGATATATGCAAATAAAATTTTGTTTTTCATTTTATAACTTTATATTAGATTTTATTCAAAATCGTAAAAAAAAATTGGACGAAATACAATAAATGTATGGATTTACACTTGATTTATATAAGACTTGGTGTTACTTACTTTTTATTATACCAAATTTTTTAATAAATCCAGCATAAATGTATAAGGTTATACCATATTTGATTAAAATAGTTTATGATTAATATTTTTTTAAAAGGTTTTAAGATTTTAGGCTGGCATATTTGCGTGGTTATGGATGAGATTAACAATCCAGCACACAAGAAAAAGATGGAGTTTCTTTTCTCCAAAATTTCTTTGATAGAACAACATGGAAGTTGCTATAGACGAAGCCAGGGTTTCTATCTCAAGTAAAGATCTTGCAGAGATCAATTTCAGGTGTTGTATACATTCAAAGAGAAGATTCAAATAAAAAATTATTTGATTTTCATTATTATCTTGAATATTGTGATTATATTTATAAAAAAATTGGTAAAAATTGTCAATTAATGTGGAAGACTACAAGTTTTCAATAGGAAACTAATAAAGAGAATAGCAGGCACATAGTGAGGTCGAACGTGGTAAACTACTATAAATATTTTGTACTCTCTCTCTCTCTCTCTCTCTCTCTCTCTCTCTCTCTCTCTCTCTCTCTCTCTCTCTCTCTCTCTCTCTCTCTCTCTCTCTCTCTCTCTCTCTCTCTCTCTCTCTCTCTCTCTCTCTCAATTTTGTTTAAAATCGTATGTTTAAGTTTAATGTTTTCCTATAAATTGCATGTTGTTAGGCTTTACCGCATTCTTAGTGATTTTTTGTATGAAAATTAGGTTTGTGTTAGATTAAGACTCTAAACGTGCTTACTTTTGATTAAATGTGAAAATTGTAATAATGGCTTTCTTATTCAATTGAATAACTTCGATTTACATATCTCGTGTAAACCAAATTTAGGTCAATTGAAGTATTGATTGATTTAGTCTCTTCAACCCCTTTCAAGATCATTAGAATCCATATTATCCCTCCAACACTCGCCCTAAACAGCGCTTGAGAGACTCACCTCAAACAATAACTTCATTACCTCAAGGAACAATGATAAAACAATATCTTCATTACCTCAAGGAACAATGATAAAACAAAATCAATAAACATATTGCCTAAGGAGGGAGTATTATCATTAAAGAATTCTAAAGGGCGATGTTACAAAGCTCATTTACAGGGGGTAACGAAACAAAATAGTGGCCTAAAAGGTGGACGTACCCGCTTTTACTAAGTCTCTTACGAGTGGCTCAACTATCTAAATCTCGCCTGAAGGAATCAAATATCTAAGTCTCGTCTGATGAACTCGATTGTTTATGTCTCACCCGAGGGGCCCAACTATCAAAGTCTTGCCCGAGGGACCTAAATATCTAATTCTCTCCCGATGGACTCGACTATCTATGTTTCACTTGAGGGACTCGCCTTTCAAATCATACCTTAAAATAGATTATCTATGTTTAGATTAAATCACTTCCTTTCCAAAGGATCATGTTTGAGGGACTATGGACTGGTATAATTTTTTTGGGCTCATAAGTGGGTAGACCTTCGTGAAGCATGCCAAATGAAGTACTGGGACACATGGTAGATATATATTGAGTCATTTGATAGGCTTGGGCGCCTAGGGAGCCACTTCACCAAACCTAACCTTGTGTTCGTTACCCCCCCCCCCCCCCCCCCCCTCTCAAAAGTGTGGTACCTGACTGTCTTGAAATGGAACAATCCAATTAATGCTTAAAAAGAAGAAAATTGTTCATTCATTCAAGACGAAAAGATCATTTCTTTCATTACTTCTACTATTCACTAAGAAGTCGAGGGAATATTGTTTCTCTCCCCTCTTCCATCCCATAAGCTCTTATAAATATCCCAACCTAAGAATTGAAAAAAGATCAAGGATAATAATTCCACAAGTTCATAAGATATACAAATTATTTTGCTTGATCTAGGCGAGCATGTTTTCTCTACTATACTTTTAGCGAGTACACACTACAAGTCAATGAAAAAATAGAAAATGTCACAAAGCTCAATTCACGAAACACAATACAACACAAAAAGTAAAACGTGAAACAATATTGAAAAAAACTAGGGAGGCAAAAGTGAGGTTACAAAAGATGTGAGATTATAATGCAAAAGGACGAGAAAATGCAATAAGAAATAGGGGCGACAAGAAATGTGAAGTTTGAACGCGAGAGAAAGAGAAATTTTTGCTAGTTTTATGAGATTTCAAATCTTTAAAACGAAAAAGAAAGACGACGAAAAACTGTAGTAAGAACTAGAAATGAGGAGAAATTGTAACAAAAACTAGAGATGACAAAAAATGTGTAGTTTGTACGTGTGAAAAGGAGAAAATTTTATTATTCTTACGAAATTTCTAACCTCTAAAGTGAAAAAATAAGTAATGAGAGAAGTCTTCTAACTTGCTTATAGATTTAACTTTTCGGTGAATGAAAGTTCAACATCTTTTGACTTTTTTTTCCTCTAAAATCACATTGATTTTAAAAACTTATCCGAGTCAAACTTTTAAATTTGTCTGAATTTGTACGAATTTAATCAAATTTACCATAAACAAATCAAAGCACGAATCTATAATCTCCTAAACTCGTTAACTCATACAAATTGATTTGTGTGTCTGATAATCATGACAAAAACATTTTACCGTAGGTCGACCAGTTAAAAAAACAAACAAACATAATAGTAGTTGTTTCTTTGAAGTTACCTGTATCGCACAAAAAGGTAACGCCATTTTTTTAGGCAAGATAACACTAAAATTTGTTCCATTATTTATTTAGTTGCATTTTCCATTAATTCAATTAATTAATATTAAGGTATAAAAAAGACCAATTTAGTACTTGTTGTGCCGGCAACCTCGTCGCAAAACACGACACACTTTTTCTTCTCCTTTTCTTCGACAAAATCTACTTCATTGACTTCAACTCAATGGGTGGCAACTGCAGCACCGGCGCTGGAATCACCACCTCCACAACCACCACCCACTCCGATCTTCCCAACCAAAAAGCCCCCACAATCCTCCCTCAAAACGCCAATCCCTCACCACCCCAACCTCCCTTATCCTCCTCCCTCGGCCGCATCCTCGGCCGTCCCATGGAAGACGTCCGCTCCATCTTCATCTTCGGCCGTGAACTCGGCCGTGGCCAATTCGGCGTTACTTATTTGGTAACCCACAAAGTCACCAAGGAACAATTCGCTTGCAAATCAATCGCTACACGCAAACTCATAAACCGTGACGATATCGATGATGTTCGCCGTGAGGTTCAGATCATGCATCATCTTACCGGCCACCGTAACATTGTTGAGCTTAAAGGTGCTTATGAGGATCGACACTCTGTTAACCTTGTAATGGAGGTTTGTGCTGGCGGTGAGCTTTTTGACCGGATAATTATCAAGGGACATTACTCCGAACGCGCCGCGGCTAATATTTGCCGACAGATTGTTACGGTGGTTCATAACTGTCACACTATGGGAGTCATGCATAGAGACTTGAAGCCTGAGAATTTCTTGTTCCTTGGTAAAGATGAGAACTCGCCTCTTAAGGCTACTGATTTTGGTCTCTCAGTGTTTTTCAAACCAGGTAATTCATTGCTTAAATTCGTGTTTGTTGCATTCATAGACTTATATAATGTGATTAATGGAAGTGCTTGTTAGCTATTACCAATGTAGCATCAATACTCTCTATTAAAGGAATGCCTGGTGTTGGTGTCCGGTACGTGACAAATGTGTATTATAGGAATGTCTGGAGTCCGGCACGTGACAATGTCTATGTGTATTAAAGGAATGTCTGGTGTCCGGCACATGACGATGTCCTTGTGTATTAAAGAAATATCTGGCACATGATAATGTCCTTGCCTATTAAAGTAGTGTTTGGTGTCCGGCACGGGACAATGTCCATGTGTATTAAAGGAGTGTCTGGTATCCGGCACGTGACAATGTCCATGTGTATTAAAGGAATGTCAGGTGTACAACACGTGACAATGCCCTTGTGTATTAAAGGAACGTCTGCTGTCCGGCACGTAACAATGTCCTTGTGTATTAAAAGAGTGTCTGGTGTCCGGCACGTGACAATATCCATGTATTAAAGGAATGTCTGGTGTCCGGCACGTGACTGTCCAACCCTGACATTTCACTGTCACATGCGGTTATATTCAATCGTTTCCTTTTGTCTTATGTTATTACCGGTATCTGCGCGGTAGTATCAATATATGTGTCCGTGTCATTGCCTTATAGGTTATTACATATTAATGTAAAATGTGATTAATGGATTTCCTTGAGTCCAATTTTTTTTCCGGAATGTGTTAAATTCAATATAAAAATCTAAGATGGTATAAGATTTGATTAAAGATGTTGGGTTGGGTCAAGCTTCAGATGTTCGCTACTGTGCGTAAGACGAATTAGATGGGATATGATATGAGAAATCTAATTCTTAATGTTTAAAAACAGGAGATGTGTTCAAAGATCTTGTTGGGAGTGCCTATTACGTTGCCCCGGAAGTGCTGCGTAGATGTTACGGTCCTGAAGCTGATATTTGGAGTGCCGGAATTATATTATACATTCTGCTTTCTGGTGTCCCCCCTTTCTGGGCAGGTGAAACCTCCTTCCTTTTCCTTTCTACGGGAACTTGAAACCTCAATCATCATGTCGAGATTATTGACTGCAGTGACTGTTAATTGTATCAAATCCATTTTTGTGCTGTAGCATACGATTTTTTTTCTTGAACCTTGATTTACATGTTTTGCAACATCCCGATGTTTTTTCACACCTTGTTCTTATCTATGGTGTGAAGAAAATGAACAGGGTATCTTTGATGCTATTCTTCGTGGACATATTGATTTTGCGTCGGATCCTTGGCCTTCTATATCAAGTAGCGCCAAAGATCTAGTCAAGAAGATGCTACGAGATGACACCAAAGAACGACTTTCAGCAGTTGAAGTGCTCAGTAAGTCAAATTCTTCTAGTATACAAAAAGTGTACGACTATTCAAAATCAATCGGTCATAACTATATGATTTACATATTCCAGATCATCCTTGGATGAGAGTAGACGGAGACGCATCCGACAAGCCTCTTGATATTGCCGTTTTAAGCCGAATGAAACAATTCCGGGCAATGAACAAGCTAAAGAAAGTAGCTCTGAAGGTAAACTATCCTATATAATCGTTTTACTGACATGAACATCATAATCGATCTTCTAATAAAATAACATCGCATATCTATTTTATTTATTACAGGTTATCGCCGAGAATCTTTCTGAAGAAGAAATTATCGGCTTGAAGGAAATGTTCAAATCCATGGATACAGACAACAGCGGAACAATCACTTTTGAAGAGTTGAAAGCCGGCCTCCCTAAACTCGGTAGTAAAATGTCCGAGTCTGAAGTAAGGCAGTTGATGGAAGCGGTAAGAATAGAGTTCTCTTTTTTCTTTTGTAATGCCGAGGATATAGATAGTATCTTCAGAGTCGCATGATATTCATTACTAGCTTACCAGTTCTCTTGATTTTACAATCACGATTATCTGTTTTTCAGGCTGATGTGGACGGCAACGGAACCATTGATTATATTGAATTTATAACCGCAACAATGCATATGAATAGAATGGAAAGAGAGGATCACTTATATAAAGCTTTTGAATATTTCGACCAAGATAAGAGCGGGTATTCTCACTTGTTTTCCGTTGATAACTTATAGTTTAACAACATAATCGCGATAGATGTTGACTTAACCGGTTTTCTTCTTTGTTCTTCTGGTTTCAAAGGTACATCACAAAAGAAGAATTGGAATCTGCACTTAAGAAGTATAATATGGGTGATGAGAATACAATAAAGGAGATCATTGCCGAGGTCGATACAGACAATGTATGTTACTTCCTTGTTACTTCATTGTTTAAACCACCAATACACGAATCAAGCGATATATTTATACTTTTGTTATCGTATCTGCAGGATGCAAGGATTAACTATGATGAGTTTGTAGCCATGATGAGGAAAGGCAACCCGGATATAATAACCCAAAGACGTCGCAAATAAGCTCTACATAAGAAGCTGTTTCAGTTGCATGGACTGAGTTGCGTTCGTCGGAGATTTACTCGCACCTTGCTGGTGCTTCGAGGGAGCACTTTTGTGTAACGAAGTTTTTCTGTTTAGTGTTTGCCTGTTATTTGGTTGCACAGATTGAGCATTTGAGTGTGATATTTTCAGGTCTAGTTGTTTGAAGTTTATTTCTAGTGCTTGTGTAGAGAAGAATATGTACAGATTCTGGATGAAGAAAAACAGGTCAACTCCATTTTCTTCCCCAATGAGGTTAAAAGAAACTGATTTTTTTGCATGCTAAATTTTGTTATTATATCTACTTTTCTCGTACAACTTTTTTACTTATATTGAACTCTCTTCACGTTAAAAAGTATCTAGGAAATTTTAATTTCGAACTTTATATACTCGAATCTGTCAAAATAAAATACACACCAGCAAAATGTTTCATATAAAATGCCGTATTTTTTGAGGACCAATTGAGGAATCATAAGAAATTGTAATAAGAAAATTTCTTAATGCACTTCTATGTTTTCAAGCTACCACGAAAAAATATTTAAATATTTTTAGATTTTAAAGAGGTATTTTTGGATGCATCCAAATCTCAATCAACGTTAAAATATTTTTCAGATGTATTTCTGAAATATTTTGGATTTTAAATCACGTTAGAATCATTTTTCTTTCTCATTTTTTCATATTTCTCAAAATCTCTTCGAACTCTCTCAATTTTTTTTTCATCACCAAGTCCAAAATCAAACAACAAAGTTCAAGGGAACTTTAATTAACATCAAAAACATCATCCAACATTGAAGTGAAATTGAAATTTCTAAGTTTTTTTTAATGTTTTGACAAGTTTGAATTTTTGTGTAAATGAGTAGAAATTGATGATTAAGGTTAGAAATAAGTAGAAATTGCATGTATGATAGTTTAGACATAGTGTAATGTAAAAGATTATCAAAATATTATTTTTTTGTGATTGCATGTGTACATTGGCACCATTGACATAGTTTTAGTTGTAGAAAATTTTGAAAATCCATCTCTGAAATTTTTCAACATTTTAGTTTCTCAGCAACTGAAGATGCATCTTCAGAATTTTTCAACGTTTTAGTTTCCCAGCAATCGAAGATGCATCTCCAGAATTTTCTTAATTATTACTTTTTTTTTTATTTTCTTGCTTGTGGTGTTGTTTGCTCGAACTAATTGCCTGTTTTACTTTAACATATCGACATAATGGCTAATAGGCACGATAGACTGAGGCACGAGAGGGTTGCACAATACGCATCAGTGCGGCGAGAGAAGAGTCAGCATGTTTCGTAGGCTCCTGGTCCTTTTAGCCATGCAGAGTCATTTATTTCTGGGGCTCATACTTCTCATCATGCTTTTTCATCTTCTTCTCGTAGGATACGAGTTTCACCTACTGATGCATCACTCCTTCCATCCTTCCGCAGGCATCTGGTTTCCTCTATTTAGGCGCCTAAGGTACCCGATTCACCAGCGGTACCGGAGACACCACTACCACCTTCTACTGTTGATACTGTAGATATTTTTGAGCCAATGCCACCTATTACTGCTGATGTTGTTGAGCCAGCTCCAAAGGGTGAGAATGTTGTGGATGCTGAGCCAAAGACATTTGGAGAAAGCCATGTAGATTAGTCACTACTGCCTCTATACCCACACCATACTATCAAACATATATGGGAAGGAGAGGTAGCATTAGTTGGATTCATTCTTTTTTATTTACGTTTATTTTAATTGAAAAGTTTTTGACATTGATTTTTATTTTTTCATGATCGTGATCTGCTGAAGTTTATTAACTACGAGTGGAAGATTATTGGTTTGCCTCAGCCGAATGAGGATTGGTTTCAGGAAACTTTGTCCTTATGTACCCTGAAGGACTTGTGCATGACCAGTTATACTATGGTTAACCACGAGAGGCTTAATGCATTCACGGAGATATGGCACTCAGAGACCTCGTAATTTCATCTCTCGCATGGTGAGATGTATATCACACTCGACGATGTCTCGTGTTTGCTACATCTTTCGATCAGGGAGAGACTTCTAGATCATGGTAGGATTACCAAAGATGAGACACTCGAGACAATGGTAGACTATATAAGACTGTTTCAATGGAGGCGAATGAGAAGTTGGATATAACCAGAGGTGCTAATGTTAGGTTTGAATACCTGAAAAAAAGTATATACAGCTGAGATCCTAAGAGCACAACAAGTTACAGGTGATGATGAGCAAGTTACGCTCCACATATCGCATGCTATGAGAGCATACCTGCTATATTTGGTTGGTATTGCGATTTCCATGGACAAGAGTGCCATCTATACATATGTTGTCTACCTACGGTACTTCAAGGATTTACAGCGGATCCATGAGTATAGCTGGGGGCTGCTTGTTTGGTCTATCTGTACTCGAAGTTATCAGAGGGATGTATGTGGAAGACGAAGCATGTCACAGACAACATCACACTACTAACAATAATATTTATTGATCTTTTAATGTTTCTGTGTCATTTTCATTTCATCTTTGCAAAGTCATTACTGATGATTCGTGTGTTTCAAACTTTTCCTTTCAGACTTGGATCCTCCAGCACTTCCCACGCATCTCCGATTGGGCGAGTGTACTGACTTATCTAAAGATATGCCTCGTGTTACTGCCTTTTCCCCTGCATAGAGGGAACTAGACAACTAAGTCTTTCAAAATGTATCTTGACCATTTTGGTTGCCGAGGACATGCACTTCAACAATTATGTTGATCACCGTAAGATGCGACCATTTGATGAGATAGAGTTATACTCTTGATAGTTGGCATGCGGTTCACGTCTGACTGCTCCTCATCTTCCTGAGCGCTTCATGCGGCAGTTCGACTCACTCAGACCATTCCCAAACACCATGTTGTCTCTGTTCTTATTGCTTGACACGTAGAAAGATTGATGCCATGTTTAATGATTGTGAGAGTCATCTAGTATCCGAGGAGGCACAAAGTACCAAATAGGGATGACAATGGATAAAGTTTGGGTAGGGTACTATAGTACATATCCCTATACCCGCGATTTGAAAAAAATCCCGTACCCGAGCACATACCCGCTTGGGCGCCAAAGTTAACACTCGTATCTGTGCCATATGGATATATAAGTACCCATATTTGTACCCGTTACCCGCATTCCTATTAAAAATAAATAGATTAATTATAAAATACCATATCATTTTAAAATTTTAAAAATATTAAAAAAATTCAAAAAATTTATTGTTGAAATAAACCAACACTTATATTAAATACGTAATGGTTTAACATTGATAAACTTTTAAAATTGATAGACATATATTTTTATATAATAATATAAATTAAAATATATAAATATAAATTAAAATACATAAATATATATTGTGCGGGTATGGGGAGGGTACCAAGGCACCCATACTCGCTTATTTTTTTTGGGTAATTACCCGAGTCCGTATCCGTACCCATTTTTGTGGGTTTTACCCTACCCATTGTGAGTAATTTTGTGGGTGTCCATTGGAGATGAGTCAAATTGTCTTCCTTAGTACCAAAGGTCTGAGCGACTGGAGCTACGTCGGCGGGTATATCATATGGTTCTTTAGGATGTCACATCCGTACATGATGCATGTTACTATAGGAGATCCGCCAAGGTCAGGCATTAACAAATGTATATTCCCTGATGGGTCTGATGTGAGTCTGACCCTAGATGCCATCATGATGGAGACACGATGGGCATTGATGTATTAGAGATAATGCCAGAGGGCGGGGGGATTGATAGACGAGGAGATCGAGGAGGCAAAGGAGCCAAAGGAGTTAGAGGAGATGTAGTCCGACATACACAATAGTGCATTAGTATATTATAGCGGTATTATGGATTGTATTTTATTTTGATATCATGCTACTTTATCGTTGTTCTCAGTTTTTTTTTACATTTATTGATCTTTTATTTATATATGTCATTTTTGGACCATCTGAATTTATGTACTTCATTTTTACATTTAGATTATATGATTTAAATCTTCATCTGAATACACAGAAATAAAAGATAATGTGTAACATTTTGTTATGATATGTTACAGAGATGTATCTCCGTAAAATTAACGGATATGCATCTCCGGTACAATATAATGATTTATGAGTGTGATGCATAGTATGTGTTTTAAATTGTTACGGAGACGCATCTCCGGAATATTTTAACGTTGAATTAGAATTTGGCGCAGTTAGAGATGAATCTCCGGAATTTGGGGGCATTTAAGTATTTTCGCGTGGTGTGTAAGTAACATATAGGTTTCATTAAGAAATTCTCATGTAATAAACCCATTTGTGTACGACTCAACATTATTTGCAAACTTGTGTAGCACTTAAGGATTATTCAACAAAAATCTTCTCAAAATGGAGCAAAGTCAAAACTCAACATTTTAATTATTATTTGTAGCATATTTTATGTTAAAATTAGGATCATGAATCAACACATGTTGTAGAATCAAGATTCAAAAGCCTCTATTGTTTTGATGAAGACAACTCATATCAGCTTAACTCGCAAGATCCTATATACCTGTGCGGGTATATACACTGAAGATAAAATCTGAAGCATCTCTATTCTGAACACTTCACAAAAAGCAAGAGGTGAAAGCATATCAACAAGAATACATTATCAAGATCAAGGCAAAGTCACATATGTCGATTTGGATCAAGTTTCAAGTGGTTTTGAAGATTCAAGACACGGTATAACATTGTTTACTTAGAATTATGTATGCAAGTGTTCTTTAATCTCACCTCACTACACCACTAACACAAACCTTTTTAAAACTATTTTAAAATACTCTTGATATTTTAAATAAAGTACTTTTACAAAAACTTTCAGTGTTAACCGATTAACGCATGGGGTTAACCGGTTAACACACTTCAAATTTCAGTATTTTTGGGATTTCTAACAGTGTTAACCGATTAACCATATAGGTTAACCGATTAACACATGAAAATTTTGAATA